AGTGCTTCCATTAATGTTTCAGTAAGTCTAATTTGGCTAATTGAGAGCTCAGCTGGAAAAAAACTGAAGGCCCAGGGACGTTACAGAGGCAGAATTGGGGAACACTACGCTAAAGACAACTTCAGAATTGGTTATCTTTTCGTTCAGGTAGGGAGGGGGCTCCCTGAGCTCTTTTAAGAAATGGACGGATGGAATATTTTGGTGATTTAGCTGCTAAACGACAATATGAGCAAGAATGGCCTCCTCTCTGTTGCACACCTTGTTCTTATTAACGTACGTTAAGTGCAAGGCTTTCAGAGAGAAAGAAGCACCTAGCAGACCAGCACAAAGTACTGAGAGGTAATATAGCATCTCTCCTTCTTTCAAACTTTAACTAGCCCAAAAGGAATGCTTCACAATTTGGATTAATATAAAATTAGTTTGAATTAAACTGATTAACTTAGATTAATAGTAACATGGGTGAGTTATAGGCGCATGAATTGGAACCTTTTATAGCAAAGTGGGGACGGGTCTTCATTATGTTTTTTTTTCCCCTCCGCCTGTTCCCTAGGAAAAACTGTTCGTTTGCTTATCCCTTCCCAAACTACCATTTGTTTTTGTTATTCATCATTTTTCTTTGCTTGACGCTTTATATCCACCAGTTAATATGAAGGGGTTTGTTTTTAGCTCTGTAATTTGAGTTATTGGAAAACGTGACTCAGGCAGCTTATGGCAGAAAAGCTCCATATTAGGGAATGGAGCACTGTTCCATTAGTAGAAATTAGGTTCTTAAACTACATTTCTTAAGAAACTTGTTCACATCATTGCACATGTTGTAAAAAAGAAAGCTTTTGCCCTGTCTTTTTAAAAGATCTTAAACATCAATTCTCCTAACTGTGCCCTAAGTTAATAAATATCTGCTTTTATACTGTAGCTTATACAGCATAACACTAACATTCCCAGAGTAAAACACTAGCTATTTCTTCCTTTACTGCTGTTCTTTGTCTCTTTTAGTCTAAAGAAATCCTGTATGAGCTCTTAGTTTCCAAAAATGCTCATCTAACAGGCCTACTAGGGCAAACACAAGGTTTCTTTCATCTCGGAGGCGCTTGTTTCATGGGGAAGAACATGAAGATCTTCCTGTGAGTGATTCTCAGGCTCTTCTTTAATCAGCAGCCATCTTTTTTTTATTTTAAAGAAGACTGGTTACCTCGTATAGTAATTTAAATATGAATACCTGTCATTTAAAATACTTCACATTTTTGGCTTTGAAAAGTATTGTGTAGCTGACAGTTTTAAAGGATATTTTTTCACTTTTTTTTTTCCCTCTGCTTTGCACAGTCTCAGTCAGAGCCATGCATGTAACCAGTGGTTGACAGTGCAGGCTACAGCCGAAGGGACATGATGGCTTCTGCTGAAATCCCTCAGTAGTCACTTGTTTGTGCATTGCTTCCCAGTAAAACACCTTTCCTGTTATCACTCTTAGGGCAACTCGTGAGCTCGCGTTGAGCTCCTCGTATTTGAATGTTCAGGCTTCCACATTTGAAACTTAACACGTCAGGTACAGCGGGGCAGATTAATAATAATTGCTTATATAGCGCTTTTCTGGACACTCCACTCAAAGCGCTTTACAGGTAATGGGGACTCCCCTCCACCACCACCAATGTGCAGCCCCACCTGGATGATGCGACGGCAGCCATAGTGTGCCAGAACGCTCACCACACATCACCTATCAGTGGGGAGGAGAGCAGAGTAATAAAGCCAATTCATAGATGGGGATTATTAGGAGGCCATGATTGGTAAGGGCCAACCTTCCATACTGTCTTCATGTTCAGTCTTTGATAAATTCCGCCTTCAGTCAGGATTCGTGGGAAATGGCATGTTCCTATTTGCAGGTGAAGAAGGATGCGTCTTAGTTTGTTCCAAGTGCCGCTTATGTACGAGTGAAGTAACACCTACAAGTGATAATGTGAAACTGCAGTTCTGATGGAGTGCCCTTGTTCTTTCATCCTTTGTCTCTTCACTTTAATATGGAGGTACTGCTTCAAGGAAAGCCGTAAAGTTACATAAAAACAGTCCAGATAATGAATGGTCACTCTTGTAGTTGTGCAGGGGTTTATTATAATAAGCCTCAAAGCAAAACTTCTCACTATTTGATATGGCCAGCAGCCATATCACCCTGCAACTCACAACTGGCAGCCCACTGAAGCTAAGCAGGTGTGAGCCTGGTCAGTACCTGGATGGGAGACCACCTGGGAAAAACTAAGGTTGCTGCTGGAAGAGGTGTTAGTGGGGCCAGCAGGGGGCGCTCACCCTGTGGTCCACGTGGGTCCTAATGTCCCAGTATAGTGACAGAGACACTGTACTGTAAACAGGTGCTGTCCTTCGGATGAGACGTAAAACAGAGGTCCTGACTCTCTGTGGTCATTAAAAATCCCAGGGCGTTTCTCGAAAAGAGTAGGGGTGTAACCCCGGCGTCCTGGCCAAATTTCCCATTGGCCTTAACCAATCATGGCCTCCTAATAATCCCCTTCTATGAATTGGCTACATTACTCTGCTCTCCTCCCCACTGATAGCTGATGTGAGGTGAGCGTTCTGGCGCACTATGGCTGCCGTCGCATCATCCAGGTGGATGCTGCACATTGGTAGTGGTGGAGGGGAGACCCCATTACCTGTAAAGCGCTTTGAGTGGAGTGTCCAGAAAAGCGCTATATAAGTGTAAGCAATTATTAATTAATTATTATTATTATTACTATTTCTGCGCGCATGTTTGTGAACAAGGCCTTTGGGTATTGATGAAATATTCACTGTGCTTGATGCACTCCAGTGACTTTGTTGCAGACGCACTATATTGCCCACTGGAGTGAGCTGATCGGGGTCAGATGAGGTGATACAGCCCATCGAAAGTCACTTATGGTGAAAATCGAACAAGATACTAAAAAGCTAGTATGACCCACTAATAAAGAGAACAGCACATTCTTGCCTTAAGTTAAGGCTGGCGTAACTGCCCTGCCATTGCTCACGTGACAAGAGCGCATCAGATGTTCTCTAAATTTGTACTTCTTGCTCATGTCACGGTCTGCCTTTTGAGAGCAATAGCTGTAGGAAACCACGCACACAAGAATGGGGACTCCACAAATAGCAACAGATAAGCTTCAGTTTCTTTTTGTTTGCTAAATGCATTTCAGTTGGTCTTTTTATTTTTTTCTAAAGCTTCTTTTTTTTGTTGTTTTTCAATACATTAATGAGATGGTCTTTGCGTGTGTATATTTAGAGCAGACGGAGACTCTGATCCATTTTAATGAAGAGTGACTTCACTACGTACACAATTATACGTTGCCCCTAATTTTGTTAGCTGAAAGCAGAGGAAGAGAATATTAAAATGTTTCTATTTGAGCTCACAAAACTGGTCCGCGGCGTGCCAAGTCATTTCAAGGGCTATCATTGAACAGTCGAACCTGACTTAAGGAACAACGGAAAATTTAAACAGCCCTTTCTTGGTTGCTGTGTTTTTTAACAGTAACTTGGCAACAGGGAATTACAGGATTATTTACAATGTTGGTGGTGAACTTTGTTAAAGCAAGAACTTCAGATAAATTCTGTTTTTGCGTAATGACCTTGCTAGGGTTTCTTGAAACTCTGCTCGGTGTTACATGTTTTTCATTTTTGCAATCTTTTAAAATATCACAATAACATTTCTTTGGGGTGCTTTTGTGATATTTGTTTTTCACATCTGTTTTCCCAGGTGTTGTAATGCAGTTTCATCAACATGGAAACTAAAAGTCCATGTCATTTTAGGGGCTTTTCCTTGCCTCAGTTGCTACATTTTTTCCCGCATATTTTCACTGGTCTTTTTGATCCCTAAGCTATTTATTCATTTTCTGCTAAAATATTTTAAAACCATCTGTGTTGTCTTAAGGTAAACCGTCTGTCAAATCTGGCATATCCTGGAATTTGAGTCCCAGGCTTGGGTTCTTTCACAAGAAAAGGCTAACACAAAGGTGGCATTTGCTGTGGACAGATGTCTGTGGATCATTTGCCAAAGTGTGGTGTTAAACCACCAGGCCTCCGTGTACACATTTCTTTAATCACCTGAGAGAGGCATCTGTTCCCGGTCTCTACACACAGGTGATCACAAATATGTTGGGTCTGCTTTTCCCTCACAGGGTGTCGAGGCTGCAGTCTCCCCTCTTCATGCAGTCAGGCCCCCGGCACTGCTCAGCAGCAGGTGGGGACTGCAGGTTAACAGAGTCCTGTTTAATTCGGGGAGGCAGGCAGAACGTCTTTCTTTCCAAGACATTTAAATGCTTTAAAGGCCACAGAGCCATCTTTAGTTAATGGGGGGGGGGGGAAATCGCTGAAAGTGAGGAAAATTTGCCTCACGTAAGCAAACAAAACAGGCTTCTTATACAATAACTTTATTGTAAGGTATTACCCTGTAGGTTTTCTTTTTTATTAAGAGGGATTCTTGTTAGCTGTCTAGTCATTTGTCTTGGGTGTGGTTTTGGTTCTATCGGAAGTTGAAAAGTGTTACTTTTTGTACATTTGGTTAGAACAAAAGATGCATTCAAATCTCGGAAAAGTCTGGAGATCCAAAATCTGCAAAGATCTGCATATCACCTTTCTGGAACACGTCAGCTTTCTTCTCAGCCAATGTTCAGCCAATGCTGAACTTGCTTCATTTCAGCATTGGCTGTAAAAGTGTTTTGAATGGGTTAATGCTGGCAACAGAGTATTTTATTTTAATGTGAAATCCTTCATCTTTTCCCCCCCACTGAATTAGGGCTGACTATACAAACTTTCATTTTTTTTTTCACCTTTAGAAGGGTCATTAAGCAAATTTTGCCAAGCATTGTTTTGTCATTTATGCTGTTTGTGCACATTAGCGTTGTAGTGGTGTTAGAGACTTTGCAATGCAGATCGCGGCTTTATGATTTTAATTATGTTGAGAGCCATTGAATAAAGCTCTCCGCCCTCCACTGTTTCTGCACTGTGCTCACAGACGTTTCCCTTTGTCTTAGACTGTGGACATTCACAAAGAGAAGGTGGCCCGGCGAGAGATTGGCATCTTGACTACTAACAAGAACACGTCGCGAACTCACAAAATCATTGCACCCGCCAACATGGAGAGGCCGGTGAGGTATATTCGGAAACCAATAGATTACACAGTGCTGGATGACGTGGGCCATGGTGTGAAGGTAAGATCTTGCTTCAGGTGTCCATCTCTCCATCTTCTGTCTGCAGGCGTCCGACCTGCCCATACTTACGGTATCTGGTGCTTATTGGCTAGTGGCATAAAACTGGTTTTACACCACTGGTGCGAGCTTTTCTCGTTTGACTCTTACACTTCACCTCTTAAGGCCTTTTAATTCTAGAGTTTGGACTTTCTGCTCACTTAGAGGAAAGTTTCACTGCTATTTTTCACTGAAATTGTGATTAAAAAATAATGGTTAAAGCTCTATGCTGATTTCCCATCCATTATTAATTTCTTGCATGTCTTCATTTGTTCTTGTAGCAAACTTTCAGGGGAAAGTTCTGATGGCAGAGCACTTTCTGCATGATTATGTACCCATGCAGGGTTACCTCTGGGAATGAGACTGGCTCTAATAACATCAGAATGATCCCTCAATTCACTGAACTGTGCCCTGTGCTCAATATGGCCATTAATCACAGAATCAGATCGTTGTCAGACAGATTGAATTATGTTCCAGTTTATTGCTTGGCATTGTCATTTTGGGGAATGATAAACAATGTAAATGCAGGCTAAAAGCGGTCCTGCCAGCTTGCATTTAGTTACCCACAAATCATAAAGGCTGTTTTCCAGGTCTGACGGGATGATAAAGCCTATCCTGCAGGTGAAGAAGTTGCGTACAGGCAACGAGCGAGACAGCTGTGGTGGTCTCAGGAAGTCTGAGACCCGAGTGTGGGGGGGGGGGATGGGGAAATATAGGCTAACCCCTCTGGGCCATCCATCTTCAAGCCCATCGCAGACGCCACAGTCCCGTCCCGGAGGCGTGGTGGCGATGGGAGGAGGGGTGTGCACACCACATGCCTACGGGCACCCGAGAGGCTGGCTGTGTCGCCAGGCCGTACCGAACGATCCCTCCCCTAACCTCGGCAGCATTCATCCAGTCACACGCCGGCGATGGGGAAACCCACTCGATATGGGGCTAGTGAGGTGACCCAGTTCGGACCCGGGGTCATAGAGCCGTACCTTCACCCGGGCGAGCACTTTCACTGGCTGAACCCCTCAGGATCCCCACTTCACTGGTTTGAATCATTCAATATTCGTACCCCGCTTTCAGTCAGTCGATCTCCTTAACCCTGTAAAAACAAGACATTTCTGCTTTTCCGATTCTTCAAAAAGTTGAGTTGCAGCAGCGCTAAACATTTGGTTGTTGTGTGCATTTTAATTCATTGGAAATGTATTTGGTGGGATCAAGAATTTGAGCTTTAAACCTCAGTCAGCTCGGCAGTCAACTTGGGTTTTTTGGGTCTTGGCATTGAAGTGTATAAGGAGTGCTCCCCACGTAACTGATGCACCACTGGGGACAGCAGATGAGTCCTGTGGGTACGTTCACAGTCATTTAAAACAAGCCAAGTTTGTGCTTTCTATGTCTGGCTAAATCACGGCCAGTTAAAACGTCTCCGAGTGTTTTTCTAAATTATTTCACAGTAGGCTTTCACGGTGGCACAGTGGTTAGCACTGTTGCCTTGCGCAGCTGTGGCCCTGGGTTCGGTTCCAGACCTGGGGTGCTGTCCGTTTGTAGTTTGTATGTTCTCCCTGCGGTCGCATGATTTTCCTCTGGGTGCTCAAAGTTCCTCCCTCAGACCAAAAACATACTGGTAGGTTAATTGGCTTGTGGGAATACTGGCCCTAGGCGTGTGTGTCCCCTGTGACGGACTGGAAAGCCATCCAAGGTGTACCCTGCCTCATACCCCTTTCTTCTTGGTATAGGCCCAGGAACGAGTGGGTAGATGGATGGTTAGTGGATGGATTATTTGAAATTATCGGAGATGAAAACGATTTCTAGTTGGAAGCAATTGCCTTTACAAGCGTTTTTTACTATGGTTTCAAATAATTATCTGATCGATTGGTCAGAAATACTGGGTTCATTTCCTTTTCATCAAGAACAAGCTGTCACAGAAGTAAATGAAAGTAGAATTCCTCATCCTGTGCTAATTCTTTGCCATCCTGTGCCAATTATTGACAAGGCCGTGAAGTGGTTTCTTGTATTAGGTCACGGCTGCCATTTGTCAGCTCGATGCGAACTGCTTCAGAAACAGTTTAGCATTTGATCTTAAACCATACTTTTGGAGAATATTAAATACAACAGTCTGTTATATGGTATAAGTCAAAATAATTCAAATGTTTGCCAAACCTTAACTCATTTTTGAGCTAGAATGTTTTAGGAATCAAAAGTAAAACATTAAGCATTACTCATTTTGTAACAAAGAGCCATTTTCTCTGTGTTTATCAGAAGGTGCGGCTCTTCAATGATGCTCCATTGCATTTTCCTGTTGGCTTTTAGCAGCCTCGGAAAAATTGTGATTAATGATTGTTTTCTTTAGTGCAAGTCAAGTTTTCTGACAGTTCTATTCCATTTAATATAGAGCCGCCTATATAAACAAAATGATTTCGGCATAACCCCATCCAGTACTGTAAAGTGTTTCTTTTAGTCCATTCGACAGCCCGAGAATATTGTTGTTTTTACTTACATCAGTATTAACAGTTGGTTTGTTAGAATATCTTATTCTAAATTGAGTTGTTTTAGCTCTTTAAGTTTCTATAGGTTATGGTGGATGAGAATCCCACGTTAGAGGGGTTAATGTTCCGTTGGTGCGATTGGAGTCAGAAAGTCAAACGGTAATGTTCTGCTTTCACAACAACTAGAAGGAAATGCATCGTAACTGCCTCTGCCCGGCGATGGTAGAAGCAGGGTGATGGTGTCTGGGGGGATTGTCAGTTTTGCAATGTATTCCTAAGCGTATAAAAAAAGTAAGCCCAGCATTTCAGTGAAGCAGCTTCTGCCCCTGAATGAAAAGGAAATGCTAAAGCCCATAAATAATAAATGCAGTTCCAGTAAATAGAGTCCCTCCTCTCTCACGTGTTGGCCTGCCCTGCCCTGTAAGCGAGGCTGCAGGGGAATTGTTGGGGGGAAGTGAAGGGGAGGTGGGAGCCGCTGCAAGTAGATGTCATGGCCTGACCAGTGGGGAGGAGAACATAATGATGTAGCCAGTTCAGAGGTGGGGATTATTAGGAGGCCATGATTGATCAAGGCGAATGGGAAATTTAGTCAGGATGCCGTGGTAACACCCCTACTCTTTTCGAGAAACCTCGGTTTTACTTCTCATCCGAAGGACGCAAGGGCTTCCAAAAAGGTGTAGCTCATGTGTTGGGCAAATAACCCAGCCTGCTTAGGGTCATTATAAAAATGCTCACCTGGCCCGGTTGCCCATAACTGGCTGGCATGGCTAAAAGAAAAGAGCCCTTGCTAGCTTTGAAAGAGGGGTGATTGTTGGGAAGTGTTTAACCTGCTTCACTGACCAAGAAAGCTCACCTTGCTGATGTTTCATGAGCAACATGTCTAAGGTGATGTCAACAGGGAACTCTGGAACATCAGCCACGGGCAAGAGTGGGTAAAAGTGCAGACTCAAGATTGTGATGTGTGTGCTTTAATTTGAAATGCAAGGTAAAACAGGAAACGAATGCAAGCTTCATCCTGGGGCATGAGCAACCAGTTTGAGCAAAAACAGTTTGCAGAGTGGGATACCATCATCCCCAATTTGATTTTTTTTCATGCTGTCACAATGTTTCCTTTCTGTCTTACCTATATAGATCTGACGGATTTGGTTTTAGATGTAGCCTTTATATTTTGCTGCAGTGAAAGAAGTTCAGAAAATCCTGACTAGTTGATCAGGGGTATAAGGAGGCACCTCATAAAGTCACTATTGCACGCATGCCTGTATATAAATTAGGTGTACACAAAGCTGTGCCTCATGATCTGCAGCCTTGAATCTCTTCTGAGAACTGAGGAGAGGCTCAATTATGCAATTAACGAGCTCACTAAAGTAGTACTTGGGCTTATAGGTACTCATCTGTAATGAAAACCCAGCAGATTCCATAACCTTCCAGGACTTGGAGCAGTGCTCTACTGGAAATTAGAGCGCTAATTGTGCCACTTTTTATTTATCTTGTGCATGCAAGTGCTATTTTAAATTGATCTTAACTCTGTTATCTGTTCCATGAAATACGATGCTCGTGCTGGCCACATGAGATTATTAAAAATTCATAATTGGACGTTTGCTCATCATCCAGCAGTGTGTTCGTTTCAGTCACAACTAACAGGGATCTGAGACTTGATTTACTATTGTGATTATTTTCCAATCATTAAGGAAATTAAAACAATTCAAAGTTTTTGATCAAGTTTTATTAAAATGGTGTTACTGAGTAATAGTGATTTTTCTGAATGGTTACATGCGCTTACCCACACAATCTACATGGCTGTTTTTGAAGGCCTGCTAAGTCTTTCCTGTAGAATTCCTCACAGTATCACATCAGTCTTGTCAGACACAATAAGTATGAGTAGATATTGCGTAATATTTGTTTGTAGTACTACACAACCATGGCAAAAATAAAAGGAAATTAAACTTATAGCTTAAGATAGATAACCCCTTGAATTATAAAGATTTTATTTACAAACAAAAGCATTTAAGCCCATAAGTGTGTACGTGTATTATATTTTTAATCTCTGATTTTCGCAAATGATATATGATCTTTTTTTGCCATTGCTGTGGAGGCTGATGTGTGGAGCTCAGGGCTCTTTTTTTAACTTGGCTGTGGTGTTTCTGACATGTGCTTTCTTTTTCTTTCCTTTTCTGCCCACGTTAAGTGGCTAAAAGCCAAGGTAAGAGCTGTTTCTCACCTGCCCCGTAGTGCCTCAATGTATTATTTATAGGCTGCTGGAACTTACAAACTTTGCCTTCCATTTTTCATAACCGCTTTGTACGTCGATAGGTACAGTAGAACCATTTTAGTCATAATGTCTCAATGTATCTTAACAGATATGTTGACATTAAAATAACCGTCCACATAGTGCTTCATTCCAAGATTGAATTGGCCATTTTGCTTATCTGTATTTTCTATGGGTTTCCCAGATAGATTTTAAAAGTGAAAAGGTTTGGTGTATCCTGTTGTGAATATTGATTGTGCATGATATGAAACTGCCGAGGGGAAAGAGACATTAAAGCATTTGGGGGATTTTGATGACCTGCAGTTTGTTTCACACTACATGCCTAGAGTGCTTTGTATGGTAATTCAGTCTGCACAGTGTTAGTGTTGAATCTGATCAAAGTGCCTTTTTTTGTTTCCTGGCAAAAATCATAGACAGAAGACATTTCCGTAAAAGCACACATGGTGAGAAGCTAATTCCAATTTAAATGATAGATTGATTTAATAAAAATAATGGTAATGAGAATGAAGTATCTGATTGCAGTGGGAATTCTCTCTCGGGTGAGCAGTACAATGTATTTTAATCTTGAGACTTGGGTCTAACAAGGCTTTTTTGTTAGACAAAAGGTAAATTTAGCTGTGTCGTATCTTTATCAGAATTGGAGGTCCTACACACCTTTTCTGGGTGACCTGACACCACCATGGTGGAAAAGGTTAACACGTGTAACGTGTACAGCTTTTCAGTTACATCAGAACCGTTCTGAGAAGGAAGTGCATCAGGTCATGAATTTGTATCTGGGAAACGCTGCTTAGCTTAAACCTGTAATCAAGCTTGACTCTTGATTTTTTTTTTTTTGGGGAGTCGGTCATGTCCCCTGAGTTTTCTTCTGAACCGTTTGCTCTGCAGCACGGGAACAACCAGCCAGCTCGGGGAGGAACACTATCGAGGACCAATCCACCAACACAGAAGCCCCCTAGCCCCCCGATGTCAGGGCGAGGGACTCTGGGGTAAGCGTGGGGCGTGTTTTATATGAATTCGTGTGGCTGATGTTTTCCAGGGCTACTTAGTTTACTGCCATAGTCATATGACACATAATGGGACGTTATTAACGTTGAGGTAAATGTAGATTGTGGAGTGATGCAAGAGAACGGTCCACCCCATTGCAAGCTACAGCGCACAAAAACGAACCAGAAAGGGCTGGTTTTGGAAGAGCCGCTTTGACGTTTGGGTGTCCTACATGTGCACACTCGGAGGAATGGCCTACACTGATAAAACTGAAACCTTCTTGGTAGTGGGACTGAAGGCTTCAAGGGGGACTTGATTCAAGTCAATCCGAGACCCTGACACAGCCAGCCTAGTGGGCTTGAGAATGGAGTATAAAACACGAACTGGTGAACACGTGGAAACCGCAGGGTTTCCACAAAGTGCATTTCACACAAGTATACGGGCATCTGGCACAGGCTCCTCTCGGTCATGTTTTTGAAGCCTAGAAATTGCTAGATGAAATACTTGCAGTAAATTGCTAATAGCGACCTAATATGTGTTTGAAACTCTTCCTCAAATGCATCTTAGTCTTTTGTTTGTAAATCTGATACTCAGTCTTGCACGAGGCAGGTGTGTATATCCTGGATGTGTAGGTAGTATGCGGAGGCTTTCGCAGGTGTTCATTCTATCGTGCAGGGCTCCGATGGAAGGTGAAAACATTTAAGGGTTACGATTTTTAGTGCTTGTTATTTTTTTTTCTTTCTGAAAGTGAATTACTACAATACTTCCTCCTACCCTTCTGGTATGTTTGAGAGAGTGTATGTGATACGAATGAAGTGTGAATGATACTTACCCTTTTTGTTGTTTCCCTAAAATCACTGCAGTGTTTTCCCCTTTGGAGTATTGTATTGTGTTGATCAAGATGGCCACCAGTCACCTTTCCTGTTTGTAGTATCACAAAAATGATTTAAAGGGAAAGGTTACTGGTGAGCCATCTATAAATAACCGATGTAAGGTTAGATGTAAAGTTAAACCCATTTTTAAGACAAGGTGTTAGGGTGTCTCTACTTCACCGCCATGGTCCAGTTCTGGATTATAATGTGTTCAGTTCTTAAATCCTTTTTCTATGTTATTCTTTTTTTTTTTTAGTTAAATAATCGAAATGTGGCCTCATCTCTGTGTGATAACTCTTATTTTACGTCTCTGCCAGACGAAACACACCCTACAAAACCCTGGAGCCTGTCAAGCCTCCCACTGTTCCCAATGACTACATGACGAGCCCAGCCAGGCTGGGCAGTCAGCACAGCCCTGGGAGAACAGCGTCGCTCAACCAGAGACCAAGAACTCACAGGTAATGCTCCCCCAGTCCTGGGGTTTCTTCTCTACTGCCAAAAGCTGGCCAGGTAAAAATGATTGGAAATGCAGGGATAACTCTTTACATATGTTTTCCTCCTGAACTTGGATTCAACTGCTTCTTCATTAATTAAGGATGTTTGGCAAGCAAATTACATCACCAATAATTCAAATTAAAATATGATGCATGCTAGGTACACATGCCCTTTATAGGTCCATCCATTTGCTGCCTATTACATTTCAGGGTCCGGAGCCTCTCTTGACAAGTAATAGGCGCAAGGCAGGGCACACCCTGGATGGGTCACTAGTACATCACAGGGCACACCCAGACACAGACCCACTCACCCCTGGAACCAGAAGCCAATTAACTTCCACTTTGTCTTTGGACTGTGGGAGGAAACCGGAACACCCAGAGGAAATCCACACAAATACGAGGGGAACATACAAACTCCATGCAGATAGCACCCCAGATCCTGAGTTGAACTCGGGGCCTTGGCATTGCGAGGCAGTAACGCTAACTGTGCTGCCCTGATTTCATGATGATCATTGTTTGTGTTCCCTGCTGACCATCTGCACAACCCTTGTGGACCAGCAGGGGTCCACGAACCACAGGTGGGTGGGCAGATGTAGCAGTGAGGGGGAGAGTAAAAAGTCTCTTAAGGATGGGTGTGATTAATATCACACACAAAAATAATTTCCTGTAATTGTTTCAATTGCTTTTAGAAAACACTTCATACAAGTTAGTCATAGAGAACAGTCTCTTTAGTACAAGGTGTTGTTTTTAGGAACTGTATGAACCCTCTTAGCAGTTTTGCCTGCCATGCTATAAAGTGATCTGACTGCTGAAATTAGTGTTTGAATTAATACCTTGGAAAATATGTTTGCTGAAGTCTGTAGAAGATCTTCTTTCTGGGTAGTGTGTTTATGGGGGATTTCCCCCACACAAGGCTTTTAGTTGTCGATTTTTTTTTTTAGTGTCCCATATGATTAATAAAGCTTTTTTGCTCTCCAGTGTGGTCATGATAGCCCACAGTAGGTTCCTATGTTGGGTTTCTCCTTGGCAAAGTCTAATAAGAAAGCTTAAGTCAGTAGCTATTAACCAAATTGCTCATATTGTAGCTGTTCATCATATTTCCAAACGTGCAGTTCTCTGGGATTTATCAGCCTTTTACTGTTGGCCACAATCACTGTCAGGGAGTTCTCTGCTCCGTATTAGTAGAGCACCAGTGGTAGTTGGTAGTTTGAATTATGAGAGAGGCTTGCAACTCATGGTGACCTAATCTCATCTCTGGGTTTCTGAATTAATATTCATATATTAATAAATTTATTCTGAATTTAAAAATTTCATGAATAAATTGTTTTCCATTTCAGTAATAGAGCAGATGCTATTCTAACACAGGACTGCATATAAACTATTGTAGTGTATACTGAGGTGGCAGTGTAGAGTAGTGGTTGGAGCGCAGGGGACCTGACAGTGGTTGTGGGTTCAAATCCTAGTCAGGGTGTGCTGTGCTCTTGAGCAAGCTACTTCATCCATACTGGTCCTGCAAACCCAGCTCTACAAATAGATCCCAAAACTGGTGTGGAAACAAAATAATTATCTCTTTAAATAGGTTTGGATAAAAGATGAGACTAGGGCTCATCCCCCAATGTGGAAATTATGAGCTCTTATGTACTGCATAACTTTACTGTATAATTTATTTCAAAGCTAAAATATACTCTAGTAATACTAACTTGAATGGCATCAGTGTGTGTGTGTGACTGCGTCTCTGTTCCTTGTGGGGTACAGGAGCACTGTGCATGTGTCAGTGCGCGTCTGTTCCTGTGGGGTCCAGGGTCTCAGTGTGTGTGTGTGTCTGCGTGTCTGTTCCCTGTGGGGTCCAGGGGCTCAGTGTGTGTGTGTGTGTCCCTGTGGGGTCGGCGGCTCAGTGTGTGTCTCTCTGTGTGTGTATCCCTGTGGGGTCCGGCGGCTCAGTGTGTGTGTGTGTCACTGCGTGTCTGTTCCCTGTGGGGTCGGCGGCTCAGTGTGTGTCTCTCTGTGTGTCTGTTCCCTGTGGGGTCCCGGAGCTCTGTGTGTGTATCCCTGTGGGGTCCGGCGGCTCAGTGTGTGTGTGTGTGTCACTGCGTGTCTGTTCCCTGTGGGGTCCAGGGGCTCAGTGTGTGTGTGTCACTACTGTGTGTCTGTTCCCTGTGGGGTCCCGGAGCTCTGTGTGTGTGTGTGTCACTGCGTGTCTGTTCCCTGTGGGGTCCGGGGCCTCGGTGTGTGACTGTTTGTGTTCCCTGTGCAGTGGTAGCAGCGGTGGGAGTGGGAGCCGGGAGAACAGCGGCAGCAGCAGTATTGGCATTCCCATCGCCGTGCCTACACCCTCCCCACCCACACTGGGACCCGGTAAGGCCTGCACCTGCTCCGCATTCAAACCTCACCCTGCTGGCATTGCGGGACAGATAACGCACCATGACTGGATTAAATAACTCCAATTTTTTAATATTTTCTTCATTGCTTGATAAAGATTGTCCAGTGATGGAGGGTTAATCATTGCTATTTGAGCGTGGGTTTGAGGTGCTTAGGTATGCTGACACTATGTCCTCAGTCCCTTCCCTGCTGTGTATTTGCTATGTGCTTAAATAAGCTTTTTACATTTTTTTGTTAAGTAGTGTTGAGGATGGAGACATGATCTGATCTGAAATGTAGGGGATTTTGGTTATAATGAAAATAACCAAAAGCTTGAAAATTCTAGTATTTCACATCCGTCTAGCATCATCTACCAATTTTAGTGTTGTACAGCTTTTGCCCCAGCTACAGGTAGGGGATAATAAAATGGGAACACCAGAGTCACTTCATAGTGTTGCCAGTACAGCCTGTGTATGCTATGGCATAGAGTGGACCAGCACCTGGAATTCTGTAGGAGGGAGGCAGACTGTTCTTCCTCGAGAACTCGAGCCGAACGTGGGTCACATCGTGCCCGACAGACCTCTGGGCAGCCACACGTACTCTGTGGTTGGAGACATTGTCATCCCGGAAGACCCTGCTACCAGCAGGAGAGAGCTACTGCAACATGGGGTGAAGATGGTCACCAGTACCATTTAGCAGGGATTAGCACCGACCTGGCCTTCTAAGAGGAAGGATGAGTGATCCCGAACCATGCAAGGACGATGCATCCCTTAACAGTAAAGAGACACCAGACCCCTTCACTGTGGGAACCAGGCACCGAGGGTTGAAGACGTCTAGAGGACGGTGCCACATGTCCACTCGTCTGTTTCTCGAGAGCGTGGTGAAAGAGGATTCATCTGATCGGGTCACACTTCTCCACTGCTGGGTACTCCACTTACCTCCACTGCCTGTGCTCTTTGCACCACTGGTCACTCTAACTTACATGGCCAGGACTGAAGGGCAGTTTGTGCACTGCAATCCACAAATGGGATCCCTCAATATGGAGTTCTTGGCCAATCGTTTTTGATGAAATGGCCTGCTCGCACCCCAGATTGGAATTTTCCGTCAATTAATCTGCAGTTGCTCACCTGCGTTGTCTTGGACGTCAAGTTAATGCACAGATATTGCAATCCTGGAGTCACCATTGCTCATGGAACATCAGCAAATTACTTTGTCTTGGTCACTGAAGTTCCTACCAAACGCACAATTATCCCTCTTTTCAAGTCACTGGGGTCTCCTCTTGCAGCCATGTGATTGGTAATTGTAAGTGAACAGACTTTTCAAGTTTTTATTTTAATGTAATCCTTAGCAAACTGGTATGTTATTTCAATATACTTGGGTGTTTCTATTTATTTCTATATATAAAGTCGGGGACTTTGTAAATGTATCAATGCTATATAAACAGTACTGTTTAAAAGTCTGGAAAAATGTTTACCAAGAGGATGGGAGAAAAAATATTAGCCATTACTTTTCAGTATAATTAATTGATTTGGTAACTTTCAACTTTGAGCATGTAACTTTTTCCAAGTTCTAGTATGCTATAGATGCAAATGAGGAGGTATTGGGCTGTGGTTACACCCAGGAATATGTCTGATAATAGATATTATTTTTACTAGAGTGTAGGTTGTTCAGCTGGCCACTGTGTATGCATTGCTACAAATCAATATGGATTTCTTGCATATTGAGCACTGGATTTCAGAACACCTGTACAATCACTCATTTTTAAATTATTGTAAGGGTTTGGAAACAGCAGCAAGTCCTGAGGGAAGTACTTTGGTTCTTCTTGATACTTTTACCAGGTTTTCTAATATTTTGGCACCCCTGAACATGCAGTTACCCCCTGTTTAATAATCTTATCACAGACAGTGCTCTAGAGGTTGTCTTTTTAGTGTATTTGTCCTCCTTATTAACTGTTTGGACAGTGTATGAGTGTTAAATTATGGGGGGGATTTCAAATTTGAGTTGTTTTTAATATTGGCTGCACTGCACAGACAATGGTCTCATCAAGAGTGCAAATATATTGGTGAATGTGGGGTTTATAGTGATGACAAGTTTTTCTGCCTCTGCTTCTTTGTGCAATTTTCAAGCTTTTCAAAGCTTTACTGTAGGTTAAGTACAAGTTAGTGTACAGATGTTTCCAGTGTAGGTTAAGCTCTTTCAGTGGTGCTATACTAGGCTGTAAAGGAATTGCTGTATGGCAGGGGTCTTCTGTTCCCTGAGAGCCTCAGTCCAGTTAGTTTTATAGCTGTTAGGCATTTCAGAGTGTCACATCAAACTATTGTTTAGATGAACACTTGTGAACTTTAACTCAATTAAGCAGGAAATGTGGTCAATTAAGCTCCCTGAGGTCTAGGTGGTCTTCAGTTTTTTTTTGTCACAAATGATCTCTAAATTGCTCGTGTTCTAAAAAAAAATCGCCTGTTTAACTAGCGATGGAGTCAGTCCAGGTCTTTAGAAACAGCCCAGGAGAAGGGTTGGAGACCCCTGCTTTCTGGTCTTTAGTCTTCCAATGTGCTGCGAAAACACGAGGCCTTTGTCCGCAGCCGTAGTTTGTGGAAATTTGCTAATGCAGCTCCTGATGTGAAGGCTACAGTAACAAAAGGCTCCTTATGAAAGATGCCATACATCAGAGCGAACTTTTAAAATGTGATTCATTTTACCAATTGCATTATCATAATAGTGGCACAGCTGATTTATTCTGCACTTGCATCCAGCAGGAAAATCACCAATTAGGCACTGGACCAAATGAGCACAATTTAGTAAATACTGAAGCTGTTGAAAGGGCCTGGTGAAAGGACAAAGCCCATATTTAACAAGGGGGTATTTTCTACCTTTTCACATTTAATAAATCGTTTCAGGGAGCTAACCTTTCAGCGAACAAGAGGGGGTGCCCGTGAGAAATGGGAAGGCTGGACGAAGCATCACGCAGTTTTGCAGGGGGGCCTTGTTATTTATGTTCTTGGAGCTCGCCGACTCCGCCAGCCATTAGCCCAAAACAGCTCACTCTTACAGATTTTTCTTTTGATCAGTGCGAGAGTTACCGCCACAAAAGGGTGTAGCTGTTCTGCGATTATTTTTTTATTTTTAAATGTCCGCAGCATGTATTGACAGGTTTGCTTTTGCACAGGTTTCTCCCGCTCATGATGTTGAGGTGGGAAAGGCAAATGACCTCATGACTGCGTTGTGCCCCTACCACATCCTAAAGTGCAGTGTGAATATTGCAAAAAAAATAGTTGCATTTACATAGCGCTTTTAATGAAAACAAAATGTAGCGAGAGCAGCAAGGGGCAGTAACATTTCTACTTCTTCGGCTGCTGGCAGGATGAGGCCAGGGCACAGAAAGCAAAAAAGGGTGCAAGAGGAAGGAATCTTTTAGGGCAGCAAGTCGCCATAGTAACAGTTGTTAAGGTGATTCAGGAAATATTAGCTTTGTGGTTTGTATTTTCCCTTGGGCGTGAGGATTCAAGTATTCATAAAAGTTGGAGAGAAACTAATTCTTGTATTAGGGCGTAAAAAGCTCTCTCCTTCAAATCAAAACAGCGTTGTTGTGATGCCAACCTCATAAAAGCGTTTTGCCGTTGTGTTTTTTTGCTCTGCGAATCAAGTTTAGTTGTCCTTTTTGACGTGTGAAACTGGCAGAGTCCTAGTAATAAACCGCTTCTTGTTTTTGTTGTTGGCGTGCCTGAGCAAGTGTTCTGTACATGTCCTGACATGGATGCTGTCCCGGTTGTTTCAGTAACCTCAATGTTGGCTCCCCCCGGAGCACCACCACCTCCTCCCCCTCCTCCTCCTCCTCCTCCGCTCCCTGGGACAGCACCAGCAATAGGTGAGACACTCCCCCCCTTACATTGTGCTGGTGGACTTCGCTGGATAGTCACTCCACTCCACTGCCTGGCTCGTCTTACAGGCCCTTGCTTTCCAGTGGGTGCAGGTGCTGGGGTGATGCTGCGGTGGTGGCGGTGGTGGTTCAATCGAGTCGATCAATCCGAAGTGCTTCGAAGAAGTCTCTAATGTGTCTTTTCAAATAGGGTTTAGACCTTCATGCCGTGTTGGATAATAATAAATGAAGGTCGCAACGTTCCTTCCAAACTTCGGCGTTTCACCAGCGTGGAAACGCGAGGCTGCCCTGTTCTACCCTGACATAAAAGTGGGCAAAAGAACAGCAGCTTGAAATGAAACTTTCTGGACAGCGAAATCTGTTTGGAGACCAATTTTTTTTTAAAGTTATTTTCCTGAACTCCACTGCTGTCTTTATAATGAAACATTTTAGGCTCTTTCCTTTAGAGATCCGAAAGGCTTCAGTTCTCTGAAAGTAGTGTGTAATCTTCCCCCCCCCACACTGTGGACCTTGTCCTAGGTTGCTTTCTCAGCTGTGTGTTTTCAGGCATTTTATGTATTGTGCCAACAAAGCTAAATCCTTCTAAATATAAAACCTGATTTTGACAGGCATTATAGACTTCTTCTGCTTTTCAGACTTTCCAGAAAGATTGAAATCCTCTGAATCTTCCAGAAGATGTGTGGCATTTCATTTTTTCCCCCTCCACTGTTGCTTTTAAATTTGTACTCGTGAACTCAAAACAAAAGTTTTTTGTTGACTCATGCTAGGAATGCAAAAACAGATTGTTTTTAACATCCACTTGCCATGATGCTTGAACTGTAAATGTGTTTGAAATGACTGATTTTTTTTTAATAGATTGAGCCAAAAGAGGCTAAAAAAAGGTTATGGGAAAGTTCATCGGTACTCGGGGAAAGTGCCTGATACAATGTTCAGGCTGTTTTCACAATATTTCTATTTATTTTATTTCAATGACTTAATAGACTTATTTCCAAAATTGATATAAGTTGTCCAGTTGGTGGGAGGTATATGAAGATTTAAAAAATAATTGCTTCAGAGTGCATCAAATTGCTTTTATAAACCCTATGAGCTTTTATAAACCCTATGAGTTACCTATAGATCAGCTGCCTAAATGCTGGTTTCTAATATAGATGAAGTTTTTAATGGTGAATTAATTCTACAAAACCTTCTAAGGCAGCTTTCCTAAGATGAAGAGCTCTGTGTGGCCGTTAACTGTTGAGGAACAAACTGCAGTTAATCGCTGCCTGGGAAACGCAAATCCACTGCAGTACAGGTTAGAATGTTTCTGTGCTGTAGATGGTGATGGCTGTTTAATATAGCGTGTGACTGTTATGGCACTAGGACCTGGGTTCAGCAGATTTACTGCAGGAGCTGGATATCGGAGAGGAGGGAGTGAACAGCTGTAAGGACCGAGCGTGCACATTAGCGTCGGGCTGGAACATGGGGTGGCGACACTGGGAGGGTGCCCAAACCCCCCCCCCCCTTCTAAGCTGGTCCAGCCCTCGAGGGGTCCCGTGTTCACATTCCCTCTCCCTCCGCGGGAGCTGCTTGTTTTGCTTATTCGAGGGCGTGGAGGACTGACAGCACACAGCAGTGATCAGGCTCCCCTGCACTCTCTCTCAGCCACAGTGTGTGCCCAGAAAGAGAGAAGGCAAGAAAGGGGTGCTTTTTACAAAAAGTCCTCTCTTCAGGCTCCATAACGGTAATAGTAGCATTTATGAGAAGTCCCAAAATCTTATTGTAAGAAGAGCTGCGCCTGTAATTATGATGCAGTAGATTTTGCGTTTCCCTTGTAGTATTGTGTGGTCTGTACTGTACTTCTGCTGAGGTGACGTGCTGGCCACACAGAGCACATCAGCATACAGAAGCCCTGATCCTGGTGGGCCCACTTTCTGCTGGATTTTGTTCAAAATGTTGAATCAAGGATTTGAAGCACGCCTTCTTTGTTAATCTGCACCCTTATTTAAGACAAAAAGGCTCTTAAAAGGCACTTTTTGATGAACAGACATAGGTGATAACGATAAGTTCTTTTGCTTTCATCCTGTTGGTTTTGCTTTCCAGCCAACTCGCCTGCACGTGCCGAATCCTGGCAAAAATTGAAATTGCGTTGCCTGTGGTTAAAAATGTAGGGACATAGCAACAATCTCCTAGGATCAGGGTTGGGAACAAGTGGTATCTAAGTTTTTTTTTTAAGAAGACTGTTTTTTAGGAATTCTGCAACGTTAAACATTGAACTAGAAATTTTTTTGAATGAAAAATAGTGATTAAAATCAGCAAGTAATAGTGTTTGTACAAGCTCATGGGGCTTATGTGAGCTCTTTAATCGACACATAAAATGAGGATGGGGGTGCTGGCCTATTAAAGGCTTGAATGCTTTTTTTTTTTACAGGATATCGGTTCATAGTGCTTTTTTCCTTTAAGTTCAGCATTCTGGGTCACAGTCTTCTTAGAATTTTGTAAAAGGCTCATTTGAAATAACTGTCTAAGTGGACAATTGATTTTTTTTCCCCCACAGTGAATGTGCAATTATGCTTGTGAATGTTCAGAGATGTCACATTTTTAGTACATCTGCTTCTATCTTAATCTTTTCTTTTTACTTTCTAGATCATTAATTCTTCCTTCTAATGATAGAAAATGGTATTTTCTGTAATGGGAAAATAAGTATGTTTAAGAATACTGTAGATTTTAGTGAATGTGCTGGAGTCGCAGCATTGATGTTCTTCAGTCCCAGAGCACTTAATATAGATTAAGTTTTTAATGGTGAATTAATTCTAAAAGTTTCCATTTCAAACATTCTGTGACAACTTGTCTAAGCTCTTTGGCCATTATCTTATAATGGGGAATTTTTTTAAAAGAATACTCTGATTTTTTATAGTGAATGTGCTGGAGTTGCAGTGTTGATATTCTTCAGTCCTTATTTGATTTTGAATGTTTACCAAGATGTGTAATATATAAACATCGTGTTGCCAAGGAACAGCACCACTGAAGTACGAGGGTGGTAGAGTTCAGGAAATCCTAGAACAGAGTGATGAAACGGTTTTATCTGGTGTAAAAATCGGAATAATGGCTACAGTGAGGCATGGCAGTGAAAAGTAATTTCATGTTTGGAACAAAAGCTTTGCTCACGAGTTTAATGAGGAAATGACTGGCTTGGATGAGGTCTATACTGTTTTCAGAAAGAGTGCCATCCATTACATGAGCATTTCTGTTGGAAATAAGACCTTTAATACATGGACCATTTTTACCACTTAAAAGTTTGAGAATTTAACAACACATGCTAAAGGCACAGTGTTAAATACAGAAGTAAATACAATATCGATGTCTTGACTTACTTTCTGAGCTTTCCAGCTAAGATACAAATGAGACCTTACCCATCAGCTCTATTTTTCCTTCTAAACAGCATGTTGTGATTTTCTTCATGTGCCATTTGCCTGTATTCGGCCAGAAAGTCCACGTCAATTGCAAGTTCATGCGTCTTTTGCTGCAGTGATCTCGTACAGAAATGCATGCATCCAGTTCAACTGCCTAGTTTACGAGCGCGTGTCTGATCCATTGAGAAAATGCGACTGTAAACGTGGCTGGTCTGTTACCACTACACACTCAATACAGCATTTGTTGTTTTATAACAAGACGATCATTGTTTTGATGTGTACAATTTCTGCATTTTTGTTGTCCTTAATCAGATTGCTTGCTGCTTTCCCTCTCTCTTCCCTCTGGGTTGTAATAACCCTGTTCCAGCAGCAGGGGGAGCCGGGGCCTGTCGGTAACTGGGTGTCGCTCATTTTCCCTCTTTGGGTTTCCTCTCTCAACGCTAGCAGCAGCAGCAGCAGCAGCAGCCGCCGTCGCTCCAGGACCAGGTTCCGGACCGGTCCCTGGCTCGCAGTTCGGCACAATAACCCGGCAGATCTCTCGGCACAATTCTACAACCTCTACTGTCTCTTCCGGGGGCTACAGGCGAACTCCTTCCGTCACATCTCAGTTTTCTGTGCAGCCCCACGTTAACGGCGGGCCTGCTTACCCTCAGAACTCAAGTAAGGATCTTGGCTTTTCTCTCTCTCTCTGGCTTTTCCTCACTTTTTACAGCACAGGGAGCACCGGTTTCAGTTTCCTATGGCCTTTTTTTTTTGTTTGTTTGTGGTCACTTTTTTGGATTTTCAGATGCTGTTTGGTGGGGGGGGGATTCACACATTGCACACGTTATGAGCTGTACATGGAAAAGAAGTTTCAGTTTCTCACTTCTGTTAACCCTGCCTAGTGCATGTCACACAGAGTGCCACCATTGTTGACTGTCAAAATAGCTTTATTTCAGTGCACAGCACCTCACCTTCTCCCTGTTTGTTGGGTTGTGCAGTGCTGCTGAAGAATCTTAGCTGTCTACTGGAGGCCTTTGTATATACTGTAAGGAGAGACTTTTTACAGAAGAACTGCAATAGTAATCATAGCCTTCATCATCTCTGGATGTCTTGGACAGGTAGCAAGATCTATTACAGACAGTATCGCCACTCCAAGTAATGGCATTTATGCATTGCCTTTTCTGCTGCCAGTTGAGTCTGTAAAGAAGCTTTCACTGTTGTGAAGTTTATTCTTAAGTGCTAAATGGCTGTTAAATTCAGCCCTCTCTTCAGTTTATTTGAGCATTTTGGCAGCTGAAATATGTGTAAATAGGGTACGTTTTCCAGGCCTGCTTTAAAATTTTACTATTTAATGTAGCCCAGTTTCTGAAACATCCATCTATATTTAGTCAGACATACTAGTCCTTTGTTTATAAAGTTTTACTTTCTAAGTATGTAAATATTTTTTCTGAGTACGTCTGTATGTGCAGTTACAATAGATGAGAGAACATTTATTGAATTTTTAGAAAATTGAGGGCTCTTTAGCTGGGCTACGGTAGCAGAAAATGTAGCTTGCAGAAGAGTCATGATAACTCTGATTTCCAGAGTTAGAGGAAATGAAGTGACAGGCATGGGAGTTGTCACACCGTTGAAGTTCTCTGGGGCTCTTAGCTACATCTATAGATTATGGTGTAAACATCTCTTCTTAACATCAGTCATAAATGCTGTGCAGTGCTTAAAAGTAGTCAAGATTTATTAAGAAAATCCGTTTCTCTACTGATAATCACCCACTTTAAAATCCTCCTCTAGGAGAAGGTTAATCTGTGCTTCTCTACCAGCTTATCCTTGGCTGGTTTGGAAAGTTCCTCAGTCTTCATGATCATGACATTCATTGACATCAGTGTGAGCTGTGTCTTGGAAAGATATGGAAAGGTTTGTTTATTGGTTCCCCACACTGCCTAAGAGAGACAAATGTCTTCAGACAAGTGTCTACGTAAATACCTAAGTATTTTCTCAGAATTAGCCTTTTAAATGTCAGTCTTTGCCATTTTGCGTTTGTATTCAGGTTGCAAAAACAAGTAAAACACCCTACACTGACATTAAATGCCATGGATGTTTGCCTGGTCTGGGATGTGCTCTTTTACAGCTTGTGCAGTCTTTGCTCCTAAAGCTTAGACACTTTTTCTTCATACATTGTTCTCATTTTAATGATTTGCAGACAATTCCAAAGTAGGTGAACTACCACAGGCTGGTATTGCCTGTGGACTTAAATAGTTCTGTAATGGTACCAGAATCTAAATAATTATTGTAAATTGTGAAGGCTCTAGTATAGTTCCCTCAGGTGGTACTCAAAGTCTTATCACCCACACTTACCATTATTTGTGCCCCTATTCCTGTCCACTACCTCTTAATCTAAATACGTGCATGTCTTGAATTCTTACACCCTGTAATTTATTACTTTTATGAGGTACAGTATTAAAAGACTTCTGATAATTTAAACATGCGATCTCATGTTCTGTATAGATTTGTGCAGTGCCATAAAATTTAACTGAACAAGTTAAGCCAGACCTCTATTTTCTAAACCCTATGGTTCAAAGTAAACCCTAGTTTACTTTGAACACTGTGTGTTTTGTCATTAACAATTTTCCATTTGGTTGTTAATGGCTAATGAATATAAATAGCTCTTGTTTCTTTAGGTGTAATTAGAAGACTCGGTAGGGCCTGGCATTTTATTTTAAGTGCTTTTAGTACCTGCAACACCTTTCCTCTGTGCTAATATTCAAACAGACAACATACCTCGGGCAAAGTAAAGACGATTTTGTCCTCAGGAAACACCTGGGCGAACTGCTAGATCAGCCTGTGTTACTTGTTTTTATCTTTGAGACACTTCATTCTTCATTGTTCTTTTATTGCTACAATACTAAAGTGAATTCTTTCTCCTTATGTCGTTCCCAATTGATTTTGGGTGAACTAACAAACGTTGTACAAGCTGCTAAGGAAGTTCAAAAAGACCAAATTCAAGCCTGGGCAAACACCTGGAAGATATCTTTTAATACAGAGCGGTTCCGTGTGTAACATGTAGGTGGCAAAAACATAAACCATCGTTTTATTTATGATTTAATTAAAAACAGAGCTTAAGGAAGCTGTTATTAAAAAAGCGTGTGACAGATTTACATCTCAACAAAGTAGGGAAACCTAAACAAAACAAAAAGCTCACAATGTTAGGGTGCTCAAGTGTGTAATTTAAATCGAGGGATGCAAAAAGGGTACATTGCACTCGTGTGAAGGCTCATTTGGAATATTGTTCCACATTACTAAATCAACCTGGAGAGGAGCAACCAGATACATTCCTGGGGTTAAAACAATGATTTTCACCTTTAAAAAAAGAAGACTGAGAAGGCCAGATTCAAATATTCAAAATCCTCAAAGGCATTGATAAAGTCAGAATAGAACGTAAAATGTGGATCAAGAGGAAACTCTGGGGAAGTACATTTAAGATGGAACAGGAGGCCCTCTTTACACAAAGAGTTGTGGGAGCATAGAACAAGCTACACAGCCTTATTGCTGCAGTCCCTTCTTCAGGAAATGACTAGATGAGACCTTGAGGATCAATGAGCTACTAGCACCCAAAGAGCCCAGAAGGGCTGAATCTTCTCCTCTCATTTGTAACCTTTAAGCTGCTGTAAGAGAGCAGCAAGGTGGCGCAGTGGTGAGCATTGCTACCTCACAGTCCTGGGGCCCTGGGTTCAGTTCTGGGCCTGGGGTGCTGTCTGTGTGGAGTTTGTATGTTCTCCCTGTGTTCACATGGGCTTCCTCTGTGTGCTCTGGTTCACTCCCACAGTGCAAATACATACAGGCATGTTAATTGGCTTCTTGGTAAAATTGGCCAAGTGTGTGTGTCTGTGTCCGTATCTGTGTGTGTGCCTTGCAGTGGACTGACATCCCATCCAGGGTGTACCCTGCCTTGCTCCCATTGCTTGCCAGGATAGGCTCTGGCCCCCCTCCTAAACTGGATTAAGTGTTTCGACGGTGGATGGATTTTCTTGTAAGAACTTCAATGACTTTTTTTTAAATTAGTCAGGGTGCACACAGCTGGTGTGCCCATTTGTCTTTTGACCAGTTAAACTTCCCTGGACAGTATGCTCTGTCCTGAGTGTCCGACTCGCATGGGATAATTACACAAGAGGGTGAAACACAAGTGACCCTCATCTTGCTGTCTGGGAAATGGGAGAGTGTGAGTGGGGAAGAAAACGGTGGGGGAACAGTAACACTCAGAGGAAAATACCGCCCTGGGCGGACCTCAGGAATTCATGAGCCAGAGGACGTCGGTTCTTTGTACAAATCCAACATCTCAGCTCCGTGGCGTTGGTGAGAAGGAGCACCTGTATCTCAGCCTCACCCGTGTACGCCTTGATTCCCCATGACTGATATCTGCTTGTTTGTTTCCTCCTGTCTTATCCCTGCCCTGTCTCTGCCTCTGTTTATGTCACTGCTTCCAGTGTCTATCGCGCCACCCCCTCCCCCTATGCCTCAGCTGACTCCACAGATACCTCTCACAGGCTTTGTGGCCAGGGTGCAGGAAAACAGTAAGTCTAAAAACACCTAGCTGTCTCTGAGAGTAGCATGTCTCACACACGTCTTGTTGTGCCGTTTGTGTGGATTTTGTAGAGCTAGCCGTGACATTTCTTCTTAATCTCCCTCGTTTCATAACCTCCCTCATTTCTAACCTCTCTAATCGATGCATATTGCCATTGCTATGTGCAGGAATGCTCCTGTTTTTTTCTCCTTCTGCGCACTTACACAATTAACGGTGACGATAAAATAACCAAGTGAAATTGTGCTTTTAAAAACCGCCATCAAGCAGCTCTATCCAGACAAATGAAGCAAACTCGGGAGTGTTTGGGGGCTAATTAACGGCCGAAATAGAAGCAAAAGCCTGTAATCTGTCACCTTCATTTCCCGTTACAGTTTATAAATCGGTGGTCTGCCGATGTTTGTATGAAGCAGACTGCTGTAAATTAACCTTTTAACATTCCTATAGTTCCATTTCTTCTCAAGATACCATTAAAATCCATTATATATATAATTCTCAAAAACACTAAAAGACGGCTTTAGATGGTACAGATAGGCTCTGCTAATTCTATTAGTATTGAGCAAGCTGCGTGTTTGCCAGTCTGGTAATGCTTGTCCTTTTCATTTGCTGGCTACGTTCAGAGACAGCCTTCCTGGTGTCATAGTACACTGCCCTGCTTCCAGAATTTGTGTTCACTTCTGAATGGCAATATGTATGATAAAATGCTCCCTCAGTTTAGAAATTTAATGAGCTCTGTGTACTTGGCTCTGTTGCATTTATGAATGGTTTATACATATGCCTTTTTTTTAAAAAAAAGTCAGTCTAAAACTAATATAGAGCATTAAGGTTTGAAGTACTGTAGAGAAGAATTTTGAAGGCTGCCATCTTCTGGACATCAAAAACATCTGCATTGAATTCTCATCTTTGTAAACATTGTGCTTTTATCAAGTAAGGTGTTGTGAAAGATGTGGTTTGGCAGGCACATTTCATTCAGGCTGTGGGGGTTTTATATTAGAGAGGAAAAAATTGGTACTGTATAAAGTCCAGTAGTAAAGCCAACTTAGATTGAGGACATAAGACACGAAAGGAACAGAAAGGGAAATTATTTGGGAAAAAAAAAAATAATTTTTTGTTGTTGATGGATTTTGCTCAAAAGCAAATGTAAAAAGTCTTTAAATCTAAAAAAGGGCTAACTACATTTATTGCAGTGCTCTGTTCGGCCCTCTTCTGCCAACGTTTTTATGTATTCTAGAATATACTTAGTGTAAAAATGTTCCCGTTACGTTTCCCTGATTTTATGAATAACGAGCTTTTATTATTCTGAGTTTGTCACCCAAAGAATACAAGCGGAAGAAAGTCAAGTCTTTCAGGATTTGAGTTGTCCCTCTTTGTGTGCACTTAGCTGAGCTTTTCCTACGAGATGCCTTAAAACGCACCATTTATTAAAGCACAGTTAAAAAATGTCATTAGGAAAGCGCTTCGAAACTGTAAAACTGTCGGGCTGAAACCTGAAATCCTGAACCAGATTCCCCATGTGGATAAAGTGGCGCTGTACCTGCTGGTACTGCATTTAGACTGAAAAAGAGAAAGAAAAAAGGTACCACTTTATTTCTGTTTTTTGCCAGCTTGATGCAAACTTAATTGGGGCTAACGGAATGCACTCACTGCCCTAATCAAGGATATCTAGATTTACTAACAAGTCTCTTGTAGCTGGAATACACATCCTTATGCCTGTTGCTTTTCTATGATTGCATGGTTCATTATGAAAGGCTGCGACAGCAATGCATGCAAAAAGAGCAGTTGGTTTTTTGTTTTGGTGCAAGCTGCACGTCCAGTCCTGTGAAGGCCAGGGCGCGTGTGCTGACATCTGGTCAATTCTTCGCACGCTGTTCCAGTCGCAGACAGCCCCGCGCCCCCGCCTCCCCCGCCCCCCGACGACGTGCCCATGTTCGATGACTCCCCCCCGCCGCCGCCCCCCCCGCCGGTTGACTACGAGGACGAGGAGGCGGCCGTGGTGCAGTACAGCGACCCCTACGCAGATGGAGACCCGAACTGGGCGCCCAAGACTTACATTGAAAAAGGTAAAAATAATTCTCGACTGTTTTTACCGGACGCTCCGCTCAAAGCACTTTACAGGTAATGGGGACTCCCCTCCACCACCACCATCACCACCATCACCCTCCACCACCACCAGCGTGCAGCCCCACCTGGATGATGGGACAGCAGCCATAGTGCGTCAGTATGCTCACCACACATCAGCTCTCAGTGGGGAGGAGAACAGAGTGATGAAGCC